TACAGCTGTATTATACTTAAAATCCAGGACAGGTTTCAATTTTTTTTTTTTGGCTATACTTATTAGTATAGGTAGACTAGAGTGTAGAGGCGACTGAAAGGATAGTTTGAGATGTAATTAGTAGTAGGTAAGATGAGATGGCAGGAAAAACGAACAGTATGGTTAATATGTTGTTGTTATCACGACTAAGTAAAAGAATAGGAATAAAGCACCCACTTAAGGTGATTCTGTGGTATCGCATTCTGTTGTTATTTTTTCTGTGTTGTAATTTCTTGTGTTTTGGGAGTATTGGAGAGTAGCATTGATAGTTATAGCTTAGAAGAATGTGCATCATGGTGATTGACAGTGCAAAGAGAGCTACGGACAGAAAAAAAAGTGACCAAAATGTGAAAGCTAAATGCAATTTGGGACCACCATCCATAGTAATCGTTACTAATATGGAGCATATGAAATTGGAAATCTATTGAATGCCAAGAAGAATACGAGATTTTTGAAATGCGCAAATATTTCAATTCTTACAAAGGTCAGATAGCTTGCCATCAATTAATGTGGCATTAATAGAAGAATGTATGAAAAACTATGATCCAGAGGATAGATTAAGCGTAGTACAAAGGTGCATTATTAATATTGATGAGAAGATCCTAAAAAAAATATTATATCTTTCAATTGGACAACTTACGGTGGAAGTGCTTGATTCAAGCGATTGTAGCCCAGGAGGATTTTTTAAAGGTGAAATGTCATTGTTTGAGAAGAATCAAGGTTGGTGGACAGGTAAGGCAATTATACCAGAGCTCATGGAATAGTTGTGCTTTGTATTGAGGTATTTAGGCTTGTAGCAATACAACACGTATATGTCAAGACACTTATTATTTGCAGTGGTAGGAATGCATGACGGGATGGTGTTTAATTGGGTAACTTATGTAACAACCCGTATTCATGCAGAAATGGGAGTGAAGTACAAAATAAGAAAGTTTATAGTGTTGCTTTGTTCCAACTATGTGTATGTCGTGATTGCATTTACATTAGTTTAGTAATGCCAATAGCAGGGAGAAATATACCCTTGCCAATACCTCAATAAGGTAAATGGAATTTATTGGTATTGATTGCCAATTCATGGAATGTAGTATACAAAATTAGAGAATCCAATTGTATATTGGTTTAAGAGGCAAGTTTAGAAGTTGTACCAAAACCAGCTCTAATTTATTCGGTGGTAGAGGAAGAGAATGGAGTCCCAATTTTGTTAGACATCAATCAGTTAGTATTTCCACAGGGCTGACTACTAGAAGATGGACACCTTAAGAATACTTTATTGAAGTACATTTTATAAATACATTGCATGGTACAAGCATTGGATATAGAAGGAAGTGTCAAATAGGAATTGGAGGCAAGCAAAAATGTGATATTGGAGCAGAATCGAAGAATTGTAGAGAAAGAACAAATCATCTAGGAAAATACAAAAATCCAAGTTGATATTGGAGTGGAGATTTTTACAAAAATAGCAAGCTTAGACCAAAGAAAAAGAATAGAACTTACAGATTGTAGAAGGTCAATGGGAGGAATTGCTCCAGAATCGTTGGACTTGGGATTTGGAATGGATGAAAGTCAGGTGCTAGTTGCGAGCAAAACCAGAAAAGGTACAGTTAATAGGGCAAAAAAAAGTGATATTGAGTGACCAATACAGATGTGAAACAAAGCAGTTGAGGGCCTTGAATATTGACGTGACAAAATTGGCAGATAATTTAGTCAATATTGATCAGTCACAAGTATCGATGATGCCACTTTCCGAAGTTCTAGAATGGATGAGCCAACATTAGCATCAATTGGAATTGAGAGATGTTTAGATTCTGAAATTGGAGGCTCAAGTCCATGAATTAAGAGAGTACAATGAAGACCTTTTAGCCCAATTGAGGAAGGAACCAATAGAAAGATTAGAACAGGATGAAAGTTTGCATTTGGAACCAAAATCAGTGGAACCAACAATAGATAATGTGGAAGTTGATCAATTGGGTGGGCCAAAGGGATAGTAATTTTGTAGAATTTTGTTAAGTAGTTTTTTTTTTAGATATGTATCAATTCTATGTTTGCAAGGACATTGCACAGTTAGAAGTGGGGCTATGTAGAATGGATAGAAATTTATTTTTGTAAGGTATTGATAAAGTAGATTAATCATTCCTAGGGTAGTCAATTCAGTAGGTCTGATAATTGAATTAGTTGTGAAAAATGATTAAGTAAGGAATAACAGTTAGAATCCAAAATTTCAAGGATAAGTATATAGCAATTGAAGAAGATATTGGAGGGGCCAGACTGTGATAGTCATGAGTCGGGATAAGCTTGGTGCTATCTCTAGTTTCTTGTTTATTTTATTTTTTTAGGTTTTGATCACTATGAAGTGAATCTTTGGAATAAATCAGAGATTGATTTATAAGATATTGAGTATGTAATTGAAGTACTGTATGATTGAATTATTATGAAAAGATATTGAAAGTTTTTTATCAAATTTTGTGGGAGATTATTCATGGACGAAAGATTATGATTGTTATTTATTGAGAGTTGTGTGTGTTTTGGCAGAGGAAGTTTGTGATTATAGAAATTTTGTAAAGCCAGATTGGTTGGAGTAGAAATCTATTATTTCTGGTGTTGGATGGAATTTATGTGTTTTGAACGATCTTTTGAGAGTGCAGGGTTACACTTTGTTGGTATCAGTTGATGAAGGAATATTGTTAGTGGGAGAAAACATTATAGTGTTCTTTAGTGTTTTTAGTGGTTTGAAATATGATTAATTGTGTGACCCTAATGTGTAAGCTCATGCAGTTAGTCTTTCCTTGCATTTGAATCCCCTTATACAAGTTTATTTTGAAAAGAATTTGTAAAATAAATAAAACGATAATCATATATATCTATGAGGTTTATAATTATTAAGCTTATATTTATCTAAGTAGGATTTAATGGACTTAATGTAAGATGGTAATTAGATGTTGTTATTGATTATATAAATTCTTGTAGCCTTGTCACTTGAATTTATTTCTCATCTTGGTAAATTATAATAAGGTATTAATAGACATATTTTTATTTTTTTATTATTATTTTTTTTTTGCATAATATCCAACTCACAATTATACATCTTTTAATGAAAATATATTATTGAATTTGCATTTGTTTTAGTATCTTGTGAAATGAATGCACTATTCTTTGGTGATCTAAGAACATTTAAGCTTTGTTTTGCTTAATAACATAACATTCACACCATGTATTCCTTCTTTTAATATGTTGCATTAAAAACAGAATGCAATAGATTTGATTTAGATGGATTATTTTAATGTTTCAAAGATTTTTTTTTCTGAAACGAAGAATTTGATTACACTCTTAAAAACATTTAATTCTTTTATTTTGATTTAACAAGCTATTTTTGATTTTATTGTATAATTTTATTAATTATTTATTTTTTAGAAAATACTAAATCTTATTTAAACTTCTAAATAATTATATATATATATATATAAATTTATTTTTGTATCTTTTGTACTTTCATTTATAATATCTTTTTTCATCTTCTTAATTTTAATTTTTTTTTGTATCTTTATATAAAATTAAAATTTAAAATAAATTTATAGTAGTAATTTTTTAATAAAAACTAAAAAATATTTGATTTTAAACACATTTATTTCTTTAAAAAATTATAATAACAAATATTCCATATCAAAGCTTAAATACTGATCTAATAATTATGTGTGTATGTACTTATTTAATTTTTATAAAATAAAAAGTTGTAAACCTCTACTTGAAATTATTATCTCATAAAAAAAATTTAACATATGGTTTTTTGAAATTTATTTATACAATCAAATATTGATGAAATTACAAAAAATATGAGCAGAAATATAAATTTGACTTTAAATTCTTATTACATTAATTCAATTTTTTAAAATCAAAATTTACATTTATATTTTAAATTTAAATGAAATGAATAATATTTTTTTGTGTTTTGGTATATATTTTTTCTCATTAAATATCATTTATAACACTAGTGAGAAATTATAATGCCACATTTTGGATTAAAAATGTTAACAATAGTTTCAATAATTTATTTATTTGGCATTCATATTTAACTAAAGAAATACTAAAAAATTAGTCAAATGGCACAATGTGATTCTGCTTTTTCTTTCTGAGGTCATACAAGCTTCATTTGATTTTAGCTTTGAAATCATATCTCACCAAAGTGCTAGATTTTTATTAATTTTGTAAAAACATGTTTGATATATACATACACATACATATGTAAATATATTAATCAATCCAAAAGACATGGACTTAATCTGAGAAAATATATTTTACAAGTTTATGAAATAAAATCAAGATATATATATATATATATATATATATATATATATATTGCTAATAACTAATTACAATATTTTTAATTACAAAAGAAATAATACCCAAAAAGAAATTTACATTTATTTTAAAGATTGTAATTATCTGTAAGACATCAATTTTGACCGCATCAATATCATAAACAAAGTATACCCAAAATATGGACAGAAATCATCATTCACAATGTAATTAAGTATTCATCCAAAGCCTAATACTAATATTCATTGCCTATACTATTTTGTATTTGAGTCATGGGATGTGAGACTCTTTGCTGACTACATGCTCCGACACGTGGCCGTGATTTGATTTAGTCAAAATTTCCACGTGTGGGCAAGTCACTGGGAAGCGAGGAGTTGTATGAATTTAGGATTCCGAGCCATTTATTCTGATTCTAAAATTAGGGTTTATCTAAATTAGGATCTCGAAGGGTTGGCGGTGGATGGTGAAGGATTCCTTGGAAGCGACGAAGTGGTCAAAGCTCCGCATGGAATAAAATTAATGCACTGGACGCGATGGCCCACCTAAAGCCTTGACTTGTGCAGGATTACGAGCTCCACTTTCTAGGCTCGACTGCCATGCGTGGGAATCATGGAATTTACAAAACGTAATCTCTTCAATTCTGGAAGGGTTTGCCGCAGATCTAGCAAATTGGGAAGCTCGTGTGAGGCTGAGGGAGAAGACGTATTGCAGCAGTTGACGATGACGAAGCGATGCGGAGGTGATGGACACTGTGGCGATGCTGAGTCCAGCCGGGAGATTCGTCGATACTGATGATCTCGCTTTGTGGCAGCCCTCTGGGATGGTGCTACAGAGCCTTCTGCCGGAAGCAGAGTCAATCACAGGTTTGAGGGGGTGGGGTGACTGGAAGATAGCGCAGGGTATCTAGGCTGACACTGCGTTGTGGCTAGTCCTCGTCAGTCCCGAGTAATTTAGATTCTCTCGTGTGAGATTGGTGCCTTCAGGTCAATGGAAAAATAATGTGTAGCATCCATACGCGTACTGGGTTTGGTTGCCCTTGAGAGGGCGCTCGATGCTTGATTGCATGTGCTGAGCTTCATGAACCCTCCGGAACGAAGAAGGTTGAGAGAAAAGGACTTAACTTTTGTGCGAAGCGATTCAATAAGTTGTCACGTGGTGAACTTCTTTTCTTCTTGTGTGGTGAAGTTTAGCCGCTTGGTGAGCAATCGTGAGAGCTGGCGATGATTCAGAACCACTTTGGGTCTGTCGGTTCTAATTTTGAACCAGAGGCCTAACATTTGAAGGTGTCGCACGGAGGTGAGTCACATTTCTGGCAGCAGGGGTTGATGTTTTCCAAGACACTGAGCAGATGGCCTAGTTGTTTAATTTGTAGTTGAGGTCAGTAATCTTTTTTGGGTTTCTTGGAGCGAAGCTGAAGCAAATTGGCCACACAGCAGATTAGCTTCTAATGGTGTACTTCGATCAAGCTCTAGTGTCTTGGTGACCTTCACTCGTGGTTGAAACCTATTTTTGTCGAAGAACTTGTGTATGTTGGCTTATGTAGTCTCGTGATTGAGCTTTCTTGATACTTCCGCCGGCTTCGCACTCCAGAGCATTATCCAAACTGTAGAATACCGGCTCTCAGTTCATCGTATTCTCGAGCTTTCATACCATTGAGCATTGTAACTTACTGGTAGCACGTACAACCACAATGCACTGTCGTAATGTCGAAAGACTATGAGCTTTGATTCGGAGGGCTCGAATGCAACTAGTAGAATATGGGGAAAAATTTCTGTGGACCCCGTGTCTTTAATAATACAAAGGACGTTGTGGTGCAGGTTTAAGTAATTTCACTTGCAACTCCAGGTGGAAGTTTGCCAATGCGTCTCCGAAGCAGCGCAATGATACTAAATACGAGCTGGTTGTAACGGGTTCTTTCCGGTGTCGAGGACATATTAGGTTATAAGAATTAGGGGTTGGAGAGCAACATTAAGAACTTGATTTATTGAGCTGGGAAGGATGGACGATCGAATCAGTCGTGGCTCTGGTCACCTGGAGAATTTGAAAAGTCGAGCTTTCTACTTGTTGAAAGACAGCCTCAAAATTGCACGTCTCGCTTTGGTAGATATTAGCACCTCAGAATTGTAAGCCAGCCCCACGATCTCTTGCAACAATCATCTTTCCTCAGACTCTTTCTCTAGGTGCTTATGATTACTGTAGGCGAATTTTTTGATGAAACTTGTGTGCATGTCGATTGATAAAGAATGACGGAGGATGCCACAAACACCGATGAGTGGGGCCCGACAACAAAACAGATGGCTGAAATTTCGAAAGTTATCTTCAACTCTGAAGATTATCTGCGTGTCGTGCAAATCCTCCACAATAGATTGGCTCTTAACCCCAAAAAGCACTGGAAACAAGTTCATAAGACGCTCATTCTTCTTGAGTATTTGCTAGGCCATGGTCCTGAGCATTTAGTCATGGAATTTCGTGAAGAGAAGGATCGACTTGAGGAACTCACACGCTTCGTTTACGTTGATTGGAAGGGGTAAGATCCGTTCATGCGTTATCTTTAGTAGTTTCATAATTTGATCTTGAATGCAAATATCGATGGTTTTTATGTTTTCAAGCTTCTTTTGAAGCAAGTTCATTGATCGATTTTCAAACTTTCTGCTGCAGTTCTGACAGAAGCTCAGCTCTCCAAACGAAAGCCAAGCATGTGCTTCACTTACTAACGAACGAGGCAGCCTACAGAGAGGAGCGAATTCAAGCTCAGAAAACCTCCCAAGGCATTTGTGGTTTCGGCAGTCAATCTCGGCAGCAGAAATCTGCTCACGTGGAGTATGATCCTCACATTTTTGGTCCTCGCAGCAAATCAACTTCCTGCTTAATGACGATCAGCTCGGCAGAAGATTCAAGATCACTGTTGGTGGACGAAGATCATCGATATTCTAGCTGCAAGTTAGATACCAAAAAGACTTCAACACACTCAAATTCTGTCGGTGACGAATCCGAGGCCGACATGTCTTCGCCGTGCTTTAGTGAAACAACCTGGGGCACATCTTCGGTGAGTTGTGGCTAATTTCAACCAATGAATCAGTAAGAGTTGTGATTGATTTCAGTCATCTTCAGATCTAATACATGGCGTTCTTTGCTGCTGCAGAGCTCATCACGTGGTGAAAGTTTGAGTGCAAGGGGCCGCTCTGTGAGTTACTCCAGCAGTGATGGAAATCGTAACGAAGAATCGCCAACTTCCAACTTTTCCTTTCGCAGGACCGCCCAAATTCTGGATATGGATAGCGTAGCGTCTGAGCTTGAAACTACAGTGGTAGATGATTTGCCGCTGGTTCACACTTCACCTCCAATGAGTGGTTACAAGAGCGTTGTGCCTAAACTCCCAGCCCACCGACGCCCAGTCATATCAAAGGCCGAAGACCTCGCTTCGGAGAGGAGCAGTGCACCAGTTCAGAAGTTGCCACCACCTCCACCCATGGCGGAGTACAAACCCGTCATCGCCAGACCCCCTCAAAGTGGCTCAAGAGTGTCACGAAGACAAATAGATACATTGACATCGGCGCGTGAGCCAACAGTGGATCTCATCAGCATTTGATTGTAATCCAACCAGTGGTGACGTTCTGTAATGCTTGTCAACTTGAATATTCATATAGATTAGAATTATACTTGGCTAGGTTCAATCTCGTAGAATGAGAGAGGGTCCGCGAGCTGTGTTGTATGAAACTATCCAATTGTAGTTGGATGAGGCTCTGCAATTTGAAATAACTTGCTATCACAATGGGGTTAAAAGCACTGATCAAACACTATTTGAACAGTGGATTGTATATTGTTTCAGCTGGGTCAATTGAATTTTTAGCAACGGACCAGGCCAGTGACACGTTGGAGTTTGTTTCGAGCAATTTGTGCTCTGTTTATTTACAAATTTTATTGGCCTCAATTGAACTTCCAGTGACAGGCAATCAACCCAGTGGCGCACAGAAACTTGAAGATTATAACCATTGCTCAATTTCCATACGGTAATTCGCAAACTCTGATTAAGTTCAGAACCTTTTCATTCATAGGTCCAGTCTATCTGAAAGTCTTCACCTAGGGGAATCCTCAAACCTGAAAGCTCCAACTTCTGGTCATTCTGCAACACTTTTACTCGGGCATTCGCCTTCTGGTTCACGTGGAAAAAGCTCAAAGCAGAGTCGAGGCCCAGTATTACAACGCGGTCCACAATCCAACCCTCCTTCATCGCGTACTCCCCATGCTCGACATGTGATGTAATCGTGCCGTTCTTTCTCCGATCCACCAAGGCTTCGAAGGTCACGAGAGTGGACTGGCCGGCGCTCAGGGTCATGTCAATCTCTTCTCCATCGTCCAGGAACAAATACCCAGATGCAGAGCTGGAGACAGAATCGCTGTTGGGAAGGGGAATGAGTAGAGTGAAAGGTGTTTTTCGCACCGCAGCGGACGTCAATGCGCTCTCCTGCATTGGTATGATTGCTCCTTCGTGGACGTGCACGTTGATCACATCCCACGGTGCTTGCAGGGTGAACTTTTCACCTTTACTGACAATCTGCGAGAAATCAAACATGTTGTACCAAGTGCCTTTCGGGATGTAAGCTTCTACCGAAGTTGCATTTTCTGTGAAAACCGGAGACACCAGAATGTGATTTCCGACGAGGAACTGGTACGAGACATCAAGCGTCTTCGGGTCGGTTGGAAACGCCATAAACAGAGGTCTCACCATGGGATAACCTTTGGTATGCGCTTCCCAGTTGAGCGTGTAGTAGTATGGTAACAGTTGGTACTTCAATCCTAGAGCTTTCTTCGCCGAGGCGGTGACCTTTTTGAACAAATAGAATTCCTTCGGAGCATTGTCTCTGCTGGAGTGAGCTCGGCTGAACGGGTGAAACGCTCCTGTTTGAATCCACCGGCTGCACAGATCATCTGAGGCCATGTCGTAGAAGCCACAGATGTCGGCTCCCACCATGGGTATTCCAGCCATGCCCGAATTCATCACTGAGACGATAGAGTACGCTATATCGTTGTATGTTGCTTTGTTGTCTCCTGTCCAATGCGCTGTATGCGCGCCAGATGCAACAAAGGTTGAACGAGACAACAAGAATGGTCTCTTCTTTCTTACAGTCGTTAAAGCTTTCTTAGTGGCGATGGATTCCGCCAAGCCGTACAGGCTATGTGCGTCGTACTCTAGCGTCCCGTCGAAGTGCTTTGCGGTCATGGATGCTGTCAAGTGACCAAGGCTCTCCAGCGTACCAAAGTGGTTGATCTTAAACGGCGGGTCATCGTACTTGGTATGCGTGTCTGTGCATTGCAGGTAGCATTCAGTGACACCGCCGAGAATTGTGCCATTCCAGGTACAGTATGTTCCGGTACAGAAGTTGGACACCTCGTTCATGTCAATCCACATTCCGTCAAAAGGAATCTGATCGTGGAAGAGCTGCACCTCATTTGTCCACCATAATGTGGCATTAGGGTTCAAGAAGTCGGGGTACACAACAGGTCCGGGCCACACTTGACCCAGGTAGGGTTCACCATTCTCTGTCTTCAGGAAGATGTCCTGCTCGAGACCCCGTGAATAGGTCTTGTAGTCATTATATGCGGAGCCGATCCCTGGTTCAATCAGAAATGATTTAAATCTTCGACATCTTGGTCTAGCAATTGTTTTATATAGTGATAACCAGAGTTTTGAAAGTTAAGAGAGTGGCGGTGCAAGTATGCTGGCTTACCAGGATCAACGAGGATGACGTAATGCTGGTCATTGGCGTGCAGCTCATCGACAAATGCTCGCCATTCTTTTAGTGGAAACCTTTCTTCGTCGTGCGTGAAATCCAAGTACCTGTCGGAGTAATCTATGTCGTTCCACATTGTGTCTAATGGTATCCCAGCCTTCTTGAAATTCTCCACCACCGTCTTCACAATCGTTACATTTTTGTAGCCCCATCGACATTGATGAAACCCTGCAATTCTAGAGTCGCCTTTGATCATGACTTCCTTCCCAAACCTACTATTGAAAATGCGCAGGTAATTGACTTGTGCAAAATTCAAAATCACTAATCTAGAAATTTGGAAAGATGCATCTACTCACCGAATGCCCAGTAAGGTTGTGCGGCAGGTCGTCCAACCAGCTGTGTATACTGATCTACGACGTCCAATGGAGAAGGCCCGGGGAAGAAGTAGAAATCCAAGACGCCTCCAATCACTCTGTACGTCAGAAACTCCTCACCATAACTCACCTCCATGCCATTACTATTCAAAAGTAGCACTCCATGCGAAACCCCTGCGTCTCGCACCTCGATGTAAAAGGGCCAAGCTCCATAGAGGTCTATATCGGCAAACAATGCAGCAATGTCCGTGGTCCACAGAGTGTAGTTCTTCCCTTTCTTGAGCTTCAAGCCATCTGGTCTGGTGCTCTCACCCAATCCGAATAGGGTGGTGCTCTTGGGAAGCTGAGTGGAAAGCTCGATGTACTGGTCCTTGAACACAAGAGGGTTGAAGAGAGGCTCCAAATCACCACTGGCAGGCGGTGTGGAGTTGAATAAGACATCGCCAGTTGAGATTCGAGTTACTGCGAACCCGAACGGTTTGGTGGTGTAGGTGACGGCCAGCAGCGGTGTTTCAGTCGGCGAAGGCAGCTTGGAATCGATTGTAGGGCGGGGAAGCATACTCTGAGGTACCTCCCATCGTGGCTTCGCAGCATCAGAGATGTACACTTGCAGTTGCGTACTCTTCTCAATCCTGCACATGTGAGTCACGCATCAGTCCAGCAATTTATCACCAGCGTAGTTGTTGATCAATTGATTCGTGTCATTATCAAACTTGCAATGATTTAGTGGGATCATGAACCTCGTGAGGCACTCCGTGTGCCTTCAAGTTTTACACGAGAGCAAACTCTCAACGAGGCATGATGAGTCTTCGAATGATGCTTCGTACCCCTCAAACGGTTAGGGATGATCACGGGGTCAAACAGATTATTGTATCCAAATCTGATCTTCCCACCAAGTTATCGATTCATGGCTTGCTTAATCTGTGAAGAAGTACCCACGTGATTGAAGTACTCGTGCTGGTACTGTATACTTGCAACAGTGCTACAATTCTACCCACGTATGAAAAAGAGATTGCTTATCACCCACTTAGCACTATTTGATACTGATTTAGAGTAAAGCTACGCTTATGCATGAAGACTACATTCGTCAAAGTATTGAGTTTTTTATTACTTCCACTTAACTTTGAAGATTCGTTGTTCGTGCGGACAGGCCACAGAGGTGACTAAGCCTTCTCATTTAGCTTTTAAAGACTTTGGAGCAGGCACTCTCGCGGAGTTGTGATTTCTCAGACAAGGCTCCTACGAATGCTCAAGTATTTTTCATATAGTCTACTCTGAGTTTACAAAAAGCGTTGCCTTAGGAACTTGGGACCATGATGCGAGTTTTCAACTGTGAAGTTCAGAGATTTGAATGTCACAATATCACACAAACGAAATCACGCTAATCTGAAGTCAGCAATCTGTAGCTTCATTCACATATCTCATGAACTTCATTCGATTCCTGGGATACATAGCTTAAACGTGATCTTCACAGACAACCGTTGCAAAGTCTATCATGATTGATGTAACCTTATCAATCAGTACCAGATTGAAGAAAACAAACACAAGAGCTCACCTGACAATGAAACTGAGGGGGCTTATATCTTGACCCAGTGAATGATTCCCAGATTCAGAGGAGACCACAACTTTCGCCTCAAATCCTCGCTTGTTGTCATACTCCTTCACTACGACGAGCTCGTAGAACGTGCCATGACTTCTTGCTCCTTCAACTTGATGCTCTCTCGCTGACAATATCAGGAGAGCTAGACCACACGTCCACCAACAGAGAATGAGCCAGCTGAGCTGCATGGCCACCTTCCTCTTCTTCATCTCCGTAATACTGAGGTTCGAAACTACACTCTCGACTGTCCTGTTTATTCTACAATGCCGAGATATCCAGGCTTCTTATGCACATCTGCAGAGTGAGGATGCCGTATCTGCATCCGAGGATGAAGTGTTAATTAAATAAAATAATAATAATCATATTAGAAGAACAAGAACTAGGGTATCTCCGATTTTACGACTGTGTACACTTGTTGCCATCTCGAGTCCAGTAAATTCCTCTGAACCAATACAGTTGAACAGAGACAGGGGCTGTGAGAAGGGTCGGGTAATTTCCTACTCTAGTCCCTAGTTCTGCTCATATGCTGCAGGGTTATTGTCCTTTGAGATATCAACAGTGACTGTTGATTGTTGCCAATCTATGCGCAGCACGTTGACGTTTATAATTTTAACTGAAAATGTCGTGGACATGGGTGCCTCAACTTTGGATGTCATATTTCTTGGATGTTGATGCAAATTGCATGCGTATTAAGCGTACGTTGATTCGGCTAAGTTTTCACTAAATGGGTCGTTTCCGGAGTGCGCAGGACAGCTATACTTGAGACCCTCGTGAGATGGTGCGAGTGGTCACAATCATACAGTTTTGTGGAGATAATTACGCTAATAACTGATAAAATGCTAGAAAAGAATAATTTGATGAAGATATCTTACGATGTTAGCAATGTATCTGATACAATGGTATTTCCATTCATTGAAGCAATATCCAGAAACTTGAGTGCAAAGCTACTGACAATGATGCTAACCACGACCTGACAACACTTAATCAATAAGCTAAGAAGTACGAAAGAGATCAAGAAGGGCTCCAGACGCTGCGGTGTTTTTTAATTCGTTCAGATACTTTTTTGAGCCAGGTATCTAACCACAAAACGACAAGCTAGCATGTTTGCCAAATTGATCATGGTCGGAGTGTTCAACACATCACTGCAATTAAAGAGAAAGACAAGCTGTTGAAGACCAGGGAGTGTGGTTAGCCCCTCTACCAAAGACAAGCGTGGACAGCTGCTTGCAATCCTGTAGTGTACATTAGAGCTGGTAAGGCACCAAAGTTCCGTTTCGATATAAGACACTTTGATGGTACAGCACTGGCAGCGGCCATCCATTCAATCCTTACACCCTACGTCGTACGAGAGAGACATCATCATCATCTTGATGTGACCTTAATACAGAAATAAAGATTTTTTGTGATATGAAGCGATGTTTGATGAAGTCTCCTGATCATACCCGCAAGGGGATTGTGACTCAGTTACAATGCTATGCATATCTTATGAACATGATTATCTTTAGCACAAACCCGTGGATTATACAAGTGGGAGAAACTCCAGGTTCAGAGTAGTATGGAAGCGTTCGTATCTCAAGCCATGTCTATTGAGGGCGCTTGTTCTTTCAAGGATTCGATCTAGGACCTCATTTCGCTTACTCTGTACAAGTGATTTGTCCTGTATGGTTCGTGTTGTGAATCCCACTAATCTGACCCACGTTTTTATGTTGGATACAAATTCCCGCATCCCACATCCTGTACCCAAGCTTCTGAAAGCGAATGTTGTGTCAAACTCCAGATCTGCAACCCGATGAGCTATGGATGGCAAATAACACTCCCGTTACTGCTAAAGACGATCCAATCTGGTGTAATTGAGCTGAAACTGGGCTGAACTAGAGAATGTATTGGGAATCTTGGTCAGAACTCATGCAGTTGGGGCATTCTTGCCACAAAGCCCTGCAGGCCAGTGAAGCTCTCCAAGAGCTTACGCTGGTTATGAGCATTTGGAGTTAAAGGCGGATATCAATTCGAACCATTTCCGAAACTGGGACATGGCCCAAACCTAGGTGGGAGACCGTGAGTTCGTCTGATAGCTGAGATTCCGGAGGGTATCAACTTGCGCATCACCATTTTTTCCTAATTCTTTGGTAATCTCCGCATCTTCCCGATTGAACGTGACAGCTCATTCAAAGCACCTGAGAACGTGTCTGAAGATTTCACTCAGTCAATTGATTCTTCATTGCCAGGTCTGAGTGAAATGCTTCTCATGAGATGTGTGCCGGGCCCAGTTTAGACTAAGCATAGGGCGGTTTTTTTGCAAGCTGGGTCTATACGAGACTGCAGGATGTTTTAAGATCGCAGTAGTTTATTGTCTATATTTGTGACTGGGTCAGTAAGCTGCTGCATTCCGAGATGATCATTCACCTGGCATTTGCAGAGTGTGGTGTCAAAGTCGGTTCCTCATCTTCTTGAGTTTCCTCTTCAGTTTTTGTGATAGTAGCATCTTGGGTGTGAGATTCAACGTAGGATCCTAGATTGGTAAATGAGATTTAGTATTGACTTGAAAGCTGAGAGTTGATATTAGAGGGCTTGAGTGCATTTTAGATCTGAGGTCGAACTTGTCAGCGGGGAGAGTTAACTGTGACTGACGGCATATTTTGTTGGAAAATGGTGGTTTAGCTTGTGGAGCGAGACCCACGAGTGTAATCCTCTGAGTCGCGAATGATTATAGGACTAGGAAATGAGACGAGGCATTACCGTAAGGTGATCTTAGGCAGTGTATTTTGCGGAGGAGATTTCGAAGGGGATGGCGGGGTTTCAGTCTGTGAATGCGCAGCTTGACCATCTGGAGCTGAAGGTTTGGAAGACAGATAAGGATCAACAACCTGGAATTTCTTGTCAGACCTAACCCTAAGTATGGATAATCATCTTCGTCGTGGATAGCTGCAAACGGGGATAGTAAATTAGATCACGAGGAAATCTTTGGTACATTCTACCTTTTGTAGGTTTGGGAATAAAAATGGAGTCGCTGTTGCTTAGAGCTCTTGAATCGACGCTTCGTCATTGGATGAAAACCTTCAGCAGGGATCAGTTCAAACTTCGAGGGCGCAGTGTGCAGCTCTCGGATCTCGGTATGTGAAATAAGCTGATTTTGACGTCTTAGCATTGCTCAATTCGAGGGGTTTCATTTTTCAGGTTCTGTACTGGGGTCTTATAACACTGTACTCCAATGCCCTAAAAGATTACTATCAAACATCTAAAGTGGTGGATGCCGTGTTTTTAAAAATAATCTAAAGAACTGTTAAATTCATTTTTCAATTCTTCTTAATTGACCATGACTAACGGAATTAGCATACAGTATGTTTTGTTTTTTTCAGCATGTTTAAAAATACTAGGCCAAAAACCTCGGAGGTAAGAGCTTTGTAGAAGCGTGGAATCAAGTGATGAAAATGGAATAGAACTTGCTAAATTGCTCTAGAATTGAAAATATCTTCAGAAGGTATAGAATCTGGAATAAGCCCAAAATCTCAACGTTGTTTGCTACATGGGCTTAACTTAAAGGTATTGTTTGTGGACGACAGATCTCAATGGAGACGTATTACACGCAGCTGTTGGACTTCCACCAACTCTGGAAGTCACAGAGGCACGGGTTGGCAAGCTCGAGCTGAAGGTATAATCCTCACAATGCACAGTGATGTGAATCAGTTAAAGTTGGCGATTGGCGTCATCGTGAAATATCTACCTTTCTGCTAACTTCGTTTCTTTTTACTCCAGATACCTTCTTTATCCAATGTCAGCAAAGAGCCTATTGTGGTGGCAATCGATAAGCTTGAATTAGTTCTCACTGAGACACCACATGACCAAGCATCATCCATGCCGGAGTAAGTTTTGTTTCTTAGCTGGTAGCCTGAAAATATTTATTCAATTGCGCTGATTCTTTTGAGACGACTTCTGATTCGAGAAGTAGACTCGAGCTGTTGCTGATGAGCTCTTCCTTGCAGCAATTCAACGTGCGATCTATGTTCAGCATTAATTTAGGGTTCGTAATAGTACTTATTTTCTAAGGAATGGACTAGAGTTAGAGATCGAATTGATATTGAATGCCCTGATTGACAGGACTCCAAGTCCAGCCTCTTCCACTAAGACCTCTAGTTACGGGTACGCAGACAAGGTAATGGAGGATCTGATTCCCTTCGTTCTCGTCGAAGTCAAAATTCATTTTGTTATTTAAGCTTCAGACTCTTTGGAAGTTTACAACGTAAGTGTTCAATTGGTTGTATCCTCAATCTTGCTCGAATCTTCACTTTTTGTATTACGAGTCAAACCTTCGATAGGCTCTCTCGTTTCTCGGGATGTGATGTGAATGGTTTTGTCCTTTGAGAGGAGAATATATTGATGATCTGAAATCTTTTAGGCCTCTCCAGCTTGCAGATGGAATGACCGTACACGTGACTACTGTCAACTTGATGCTGGAAACTTGCGGTGGTAGAAGCAACACAGAGGGAGGAGCAGCCTGGTAGGTCTTGCTTGGCGCTTCAACAGTGATGCATTTCCAAAATACAGCAAAGGGAACTAGACTTGGAGTCGCGAGGCCGGTGATCTCATGCTATATCTACAGATTCATTGTGATCCTTGAATTTAGGTTATTTTTAAAACATTGAAGTTCTGGATGCAGGAAACCTCCGCTGGCTTCTTTGACTATTCGCAACTTATGCTTGTACACTACGAATGAGCATTGGAAGGTAAAACAATAGCACTTTGTGTCTCTGGATTTGCTTTCTCTATTGTAGCACTGAATATTGGAGAGTGTTGCTTGGAGTACTGTCATACACAGTATGTTCGGCAATGGTATCGCTTCCACCCCCACCGGACCTTTAGTCAGCCTGACAATAATAGTGGACTTCTTCTGTTGTGTGCCTCAGGTGGTACCTCTGAATCAAGCAAGGGACTTCAACAATAATACGAGAGCAATCTATGTATTCAAAGTAAATGCCTCCGTTTGTGCACTCTGTGTTCGTAACTTAGATTCTATAGACGTGTATTATTTGTTTCCAAGTGCTTTTGTATCATTTAAGCTCATTATTTGATGTTCAATGCAGAAACTGGAATGGGAATCTCTGTCAGTGGACTTGCTTCCTCATCCGGACATGTTCTCTGATGAACAATTCATGAAAATGGGGAGAAGCGACTCACGTGATAAAGATGGTGCCAAAAGATTATTCTTTGGTGGGGAGCGGTTTCTGGACAGTATATCTGGTTATGCAAATGTAACTTCCTGCTGTTTCCCTCTTCTATAGATGCTTATCTGTCGATCTTTGTTCTTCTCTCAGGAGTTGGGTGTATATTGTACCTCTACCTTTCAACATGTTTGGCTGGAATCGACTGTCGGTTGTTACTGAGCTTCCTGTAATTAGTGGATCTGGGAACATGTGTTCAGATAACCATGTGTAGATCTGAACAAAACGCAAATCTTGGACTGGAGGTGCAATTACACATTCCTGACGTCCTTATTCCAGCACTGAGTGAGCCTGGTATGTATCTGACATCTGTCACTGGAGTTGTTTCCTTATTTGTAGCCAATTTTCCAGGTCGGTGTGATGATACAGCATCTCTAACATGATCAAAATTTGTTCTGATTTTTCTTGAATACTTTCGTGATCGGTATAAGGATAATTCGAGCCAACTTGTAGTCTTTTGACCTTGATCATTAATGTCATTTGCTCCTACTTAATGCAATATTCGTAGGTTTGAGGGCATTACTGCGCTTCATGACTGGAGTCTATGTTTGTATGAACAGAGGAGATGTGAATGTTAGATCTAAAAAGGTATGCATAGTTCGATTTGGTCATATCTTGTTGCTAATTAGTTTTTCTCTGGTGTTTACATGCCTATTGAGTTGGAATGACATAGCATTACCATTGGGTACCGTTGTCGTGAACAAAACGCTGTATACAGTTTTAAGTTATATTTAACGTTACATACAGTGGATTATTTAGAATTCTGTTCGAGCCGTTTTCGTGAAGTAAATGCCTTGTGATCTGAAGTTTCACTACTTTTATCTCTCAGCTCGGCCACAGATAAGAATTTATGCCACAAAATTTGACATGTATATGATGCTGCAGTCAGAAGCAGCTGGAAGATCAATGATTGGAGTGCGAATTGATCACATTTTTCTATGTATTAAAGATGCTGGTACGTGGAAGCTAACAGAGTAATTTTCCTTCTTTTTTATTGAACCTAATTCTACGAATCTGGCCATGCTCATTCCTATTGTGGAGCAGCTGTCAGTTGGAATGTGTCATCTAATAGTAAATCATACCTCGCAATCAGTCTCTTAGGAAATCCTCACATGTTCAGAGAAACTAACAGAAATTAGTGACTTGTGCAGAATTTCAAGTAGAGTTTCTGCTGCAGTCTCTACTCTACGTGCGGGTATGCCGAATCTTAACTCAAAGGCTATCTTTCTATGTCATCTTAAGTTTCGTTTGTAAAACCTTCTGTGTCTTAGTTCCTCTTCCTTTAACTCAATATACTCCTAACGGTGTTCGCGACAGGCAAGCTCTGCAGACGGAGAATGCATGCGCACGATGTCACGTATTATCATCGGTTGTCTATTTCTAAGGTGCGGCTGCGCCTTTATAAAACTTCATACACGATTGTAATTTCTTCGCCATGAGAAGGTTGTCTCACTGTCGAAATAAGTCTGATGTACTCATTATATTTACGTGGTCATTGTATCGCAGAGACACATTCTCACAACCTTCGTGTACTCTTGTACAACCGAGTATGCGAGATTCTGGATCTGTCTCTGCTCCCTACGTCCCCTCTTTTGGTTGGTGCGCTGAACTTAAATAATGTTTGAAAAATGATAGTAAAATCATAAAGCTAATGTAAAATTTAGCATGATGTGTGTATTTAATGATATTTCTGTAGTTATCGTGGAAGTTAGTAACGTCTGCATGCTCAAGTTGCATTTGTATTTTGCTATCACCAATTGCTATTCCGTGTGACATGGCAATTCCTCTGCAAGATCTTTGACATACTGAACTCCCTACTTGTACGCTTCACATCAGCTAGTGACAAGCTATGGCCAAGGATATATCCCCTAGAAGATGCTGTGATGCCTCAAGCTACGGAGACGTCCATGATATGTGTATACTCGGTTCAGACAGCACCTGCTCCAGCTCCTCCAAATTTGGCTTCACAAACCGTCGTTCAATGTCAACCACTGAAGGTATTGAACCGATTTTACCCTCGGTATTTGTCGGGTGAATGGGAACGATGCATCTGGACAGTAGTGTTGTAGAGCCGAATTTGTGAACGATGAATGTACTACATTTTAAATTATCTCACTTTACAAAAGAACATTTGATCAGCTGGCGTATTCAAAACTAAAAATGCTACTAGAACTGCTGGAAATATTTCTATATATGTTGGTGGAACTATTTCTTACTTCTAAATAGTTAACTTAAAGCTATGATTCCTGATTTAAAGCTAATGAAATTGTTCATGTGATCTCAAGGTGCACTGGTGCTCATGGTCCTGCATTGAATTTCATCAGACTTGAGCCTTAAAGTTACTGTATGGAGGTGTCTAAACCCCGGTCTATTGTGGGTATTTCGTCTAAATTATGATTTTTGAGTTGTGATTGACAGATTAACCTTCAGGAAGAAACCTGTTTACGAATAGCTTCTTTTCTGTCGGATGGAATTAACGTAGAACCTGGCCTGGTTCTCCCTGAAGCGTCACTTAATGCAATGCACTTCAGTCTTAAGGAGTTCGACCTTACTGTTCCCTTGAATGCTGCATTACTGGATGAAGACGACATGGAAGAAGAGAACGGTTTTACAGGAGCGAGGCTTCACGTTGAGGGATTTATGATTGCTCAAAGTCCATTTTTAGGTTTCAGGTTACTAAACCTTGAAAAAGATGCGGCTTGTTTCACTATGTGGAAGGGCCAGCCGGTTGACTCAAGCCAGCAAAGGTACCGTTTCCTGTTTCTTTTCTGAAGTTTGAAATGGAGTGCGCAGGTAGTAGCTACATACTTTTGAAGCTGTACAATAGCTTGAAAATTACCAGTGGACCTGTTGAGTACAGCTCTCGATTTCATCTTCTGTTTGACTACCTTTATCTACTATAGAAATAATTCAGTGCTTCTCCTTGTGTTAAACAACTTTTTGGTCCTCTTTTCTCTGAAGTCCTGATCGTCGATTCTCTATGTAGTTTCTATGTTTTTGTCAATTTTTCTTAGAAACGTCTCTTTGCTGAATTAGGTGGGTGATGCGTGCGTCCCACTTGAGCATCGCACTTGAAACAAGCAGTTGTAATGATAATGTCCAAAATGAAACTGCTGCGGATTGGGCAGCTGGTTTGTGGCGCTGTGTGGAGATGCATGAGCTGCACCTAGAGTCTGCTATGGCTACCGCAGATGGTGGACCACTGATTGATGTTCCCCCACCAGGTAAAATATATTTGACAGCTTCTGTAGCTGAAATTCCAAAACCCACATGAACATTATAGATATTATTTCGCATACTACTTGGTATCTCTAAGTTGGAAATCTATCATGGGTTTCAAATGCCAAGAATAAATTTTATGTCTTCCTCCTATTTGACGTCAACCTCAAGCGTTTATCCTGTAATGTCGCAGTTCATGCTCTTTGTTATACGAGCTTGTTGTTTCTCGTTCTTGTTGGTCTTAACATGACTTCCTTGTTTATTAGCAGTGATACTTCAGATCTGTTGATTTGCATCTTGTTTCTTACGAGCATTTTGAGAATATGAAATAGAAAGTGCATTGCACGTCCAAATCTGGTTACTCTACATCCGTTCGTAAGCATACGTTGTTAATGTCAATGCTGCAGGTGGGATTGTGAGGTTGGGCATTTCGTGCAAAAAGTATGTGTCAAATACGTCAAGTGAGCAATTTTTGTTTGTGCTGAAGATGTACACATACTTAGGGATAGTGAGTGACATGCTTCTTCGAGAATTGAAACCTGTAACACAGAAAAAGACGTCCAAGTCAAGCTCTTTCAAGGAGCTGAAAAGAGCTGAATCACTCCAAGATATCGCGGAAATAGTGCCTGCTGATATGGCAGTGTACTTGAGCTTGAAGAGACTTGAGGTGAAATTTTTGGAGTCAGTTCCGGGAGAAATTGCAACGGAAGGTCCTCCTTTGGTTCAAATATCAAGCAGGGATATAGATTTTACTGCTACACATCAAATGCTCGCAGCTGCAGCTGTGATATCTTCAAACTTGTGTTGGCAAGATATTCGCGTTGACTGTGTGGAAACAGAATTGTCTTTTCCAGGGGCAGTAGAGTCGCACTATGGCAGTCCACTAACCCATATATCAGGAATAAGGGATTCATTCGATGCCTCTACACTTGGATCTCCTTCGGGTAACCCACTTATAACTGATGACGGTGTGGATTCCAGCGGTTCATGCGGCGACTCCTTTATCCGGCCAACACCTTTGAAGTTGTCGCCACTGGCAAGAGGGCTGGAAAGGTGTGTGCCCAGTCAAGGTCTGCCAGAGATGCGTGGCGTGTTCTGGATAGGAGAGGAGAGAGGCAGCATGGCTCCAACTGGACCAGGTGAAATAAATGGGACCTCCTCATCGGGAAGGTTGCCCTTTCTTGACATCTGTGTAAAAAACGTGATTCCTTTTAAAGAACAGGATGCTGAATGTCATAGCTTGAGCATAAATGCAAAAGTGGGTGGAGTTAGACTGGGTGGAGGCATGGCTTACAATGAGGCACTGTTGCATCGATTCGGTGTATTTGGTGCTGATGGAGGTCCTGGTCCTGGAGTTGAGAAGGTTATTAAGAATTTGACAAGGGGATCGCTTGCAAATCTATTTAGACCTTCACCTGATGTTGGAACGGCAAGGAAAGGTATGTGCTCCTTAATACGCCAGCGATGCTAAATTTTTGTAAAAGCACATGGAATTTGGTCTAGCAAATCTTCAAAATGCTTTGTGACTTACTGAGATAAACTAAGTAAATCGCATCAGAAGCATGTGGTCTTCCAGCGTTGTATTTTTCCATCTAATGAATTCGTGTTACATTCAATCGTCAGGTGACAGAGTTAGAAAAACAGTAGAGGAGCCTACTTGGGATTCGAGACTGCCAGACGACATTGAATTCGAGATTCATTTGCTTGACTGGCTTTTCGCCTTAGAAGGTGCAAATGGTGTTTTTGAACCTGAGGAAACATTTATAACACAGAGTTCGCATTCATTCCGTGAGGACAGGTGCTGGCATTCCACTTTTCGCTGTCTGAGTTTGAAAGCCCAAGGTACCAAAGAGGGTGGCAATCTAATAGCCGCAAGACATGGGAAAAAGTCCAGTCCTGTGCAAAGTTTAGTGGTATGTAACTCTTCTCTAGTGTTTCCTGAAATTCCAATTAGCTTGAAAATCAATTATTCATGTTTATGATAACGCGCTATCACCTTTTCTGTGTTGTGACGGACTTAGCTTTATCTTGTGTACTAGACTTGGCAGCTTACTGACATGAATTTGTGAATTTTTACAGCTGAAAATTGAGGGGCTTCAAGCTTTGAAGCCTCGGGTCATTGGGAACTCTTCGCATCAAATTAGAGATTTTGCAGGCAATGTACAAATGAACAGCAGTGTGGAGTACTTGGATTGTGGTGGCGCTGATTTCTCGTATTGTGGCTCTCCAAACCCTGGTCAAAGCGGTGCAATTTTGGCAGACAACATTTCGGGATTACGAGATATAGGCTCAAGTATTACCAGCAGCGAAGTAAGACTAGAATCTTCACATCTTGGTAGTTTTTCCGCAGCGGACCCAAGTGTGACAAGCAAGAGTGGTTTTGACTTTGAGATCCAATTAGAAGAGCCTGAAGATGATGATGGTATGGATATCGGAATGGGAGGATGGGTAGTAAAGATCTGCAAAGCTGCTGTTAGAGAACCGGTAAGCAACTACGAATCATTTGGATATCTGTCGTTCATTTTGTGGCTGTCTTTGACGTGTGATGTATTGATGTTGCGGGTTTCTGGATCTAGCATCATGCACTGTTGTCTATTTTCTAGATTGTTTATGAAGTACATGAGGTGGTTTTGATGAATATGAGGAGTTGTTTCACTTTAGAAGCCTACCGTTTAAATATGTTTTATTGCTGCATTTATGTGTGGCATAATAATTAAAGCTTCAAAGATCTAGAAGTGGTACTTGCGTATTTGTAGCGATGTGAAAGTTTTGATGTGGTCTCGATTTCGGTTTCTGTCTGTTAAAACTCGTGCGTGTAACTGAATCGACTACCCCCACTTGAGCATAGGTGGAGGTTGGAGCAACCAGAGTTGAGGTCGAGTACATGGTGGAACTTTTCAAGTCAGAGATTGAGTCAGCTAGCCGAATAGCTGCTGGCGGTTTAAGGCTCCTCCAACTACATAAAACGATTGGCCACAGTGCTATTGATCAGTTAACACATTTTGGTATGAGAGATTTCCAGAACAATCGCTGCTATGTCATTGGTGTATTCTTCTTTAGTGCAGAATTTTGTTTCCCAGTTTTGTTCCTTCTGCCATCACTTAGACTCACGAAACGCAAACTTCAATCAACTGGTCGGTAATTTAAGACAACGTTGTTTGAGTGGTTATTAGCTCCATTTTACCAATTGTCCATTTCCCTGTGGATATATGCAGGTGGTGGCGGTTTGGATAGAGTACTTACACCAGGTAGCAGGGAAAAGAGTAGGCGATTCAGCGATGGAAGTGTGTCGTCACTTCCATCGTTTCGGAAGTCGTTCAAGAAGGAAAATACACTCTCCAAACTAGAAGCCTCCATATCTGAGACTGAAACTTTGTGTTCGAAGTTGTACCAGCAGCTGAGCCTTAAGACAGACTCAGCAACTGCAGCAGAGTTGAAACTCTTGGTAGATCAGATTAAATCCTCCCAAACCCTACTAGGAAATTTGAAAAACGAATTGTAGTATAATTGATGAGCAGGTTTTATGGACTGAAAGCTGAACATTCAATGTAAAGTATTTATAACTTCCAGAGTTACGGAGTTAATCGCTCTGTCTGTTCCTTTAATGGTTCTTCAGTCCTTCTACCTTGTCGTGACTTGTAATGTCTCTGCATGATTTTCAACCAAAAACCCACGTCACGAACGTTCGCAACCGGCGTCTCTATAGGATAGTAATCATGAATATACTGGATATCTGTAAGTAAATTCTCGTTTGTCCATACCAAACATACATATACAATGGTTTGGGCTGGGTGGTTCATAACAAGTATCAACTGACTACACTAGGGTGAAGTACATGTTCACAAAGTTAGGGGTTATGATGTCACAGCCAGCAGCTTAGGCCCCTTGTGTAAGAAAGACCGTTTCAGAAGCTGAACGTCAAGACCTTTGAGAGCGTTTGCCGGCCAGATAAACCCCAAACCATTCGTAACCTTCGGGTATAAGTTGAGCAATACAAACAGCTTTTATGAATACAGGAGAATGACACATTTCCAGAACAACTGATTAATATAGTATGGAAGACCTGAAGGTTGGCTACGTGTACAAATATGTTGTATACAAACAATCTATAAATGGTACATGTTTGATTTTTCATTAAGTTAATCAAATAAGGGTTTGGATTTGATCTCTACATAGTCATGTAACATCCAATAATAACATTTAATATTCTCATTTCTCGTCTTTTGACAACTTGTTTACGCCTCTATGAGTTCAAACTTATTCACAAAATTGTGTAAAACAGAGCCAACTTCATTAAGGATTCGACATCACCAAGATTACCTTGTGTCCTTGGAACTTGAGAAGATTTGTGATAGGATATGAAAATATTCTCCTTCAATTTAAGAAGCATTAGCAAAGGTTGGAACAAACTAGCATGAATTACAGAGAAGACTTCATTAGCATTTGACACAAGTTTTTGCAAAGAATTTTAGGTTTAGTTTTGCTTTTGATTTTTTGAATTTTGTTTTTTGATTTTTAGAAGCGTTTGCATTGCACAATTAGAGAGTTTATTGGGTGTGCAACTTGCCACATTGTCAAAAATACCTCTTTAACATGTACGGCTCAAAATTTTACCTCCTCTATTTAGCTTATGCAAAGGATGTTATCCCTAGCAGGTTCAATCTCATTATCAACTACATGAACTTAAGTGCAAAAATGAAAAAATATGTTCCCAACCTCTGGTAAAGCATACCTCTTCGGAAAGTAAAAAATCAACGAGACCCGCCAAATGAAAGTGGATGTAAGGTGGGAGGAATCAACGAACAAAACTACTGCACGTTGTAGAAAGAGTCAATGATAGCGTCAGCCAGGTAAGCACATTTTGCCAAGTTGAGTCCAGCGAGGGAAATACGACCGTCCTTCGTCATGTAGACATGCCACTTGTCAGTCATGTTATCACTCTGCAACCACAAAGCACCGCTGAGTCTGGGATAGATTACATAACCTCTCAACAAGTTTATGTATACAATTGCAAACCTCAATCACAAGTAGACGTGGAACATTTGAAAGTGGAGTAATCAACCAAAGCGGTGTCTGCCCCTGGTAGATAATATAGTTGATAAGGAGACCAGTATTCATTGTTTATGGATGAGAAGCATTACGATGGCAAAGTACAGACCACTCAATTCACAAGATCGTGTGCACAGCTAGGGGATCAAGTCCATCTCCTTTCCTGCACTTTATCTCAATCTTTTAATTCATTGCTGTGTCGATATCAAAGCTCGGTTAGTTGGTGATTATAATCGTTCACATTGTAAATAACCTTTATCTCTTAATCTTTTAATTCATTACTGTGTCGATATCAAAGCTCGGTTAGTTGGTGATTATAATCGTTCACATTGTAACTAACCTTTATCTCTTAATCTTTTAATTCATTACTGTGTCGATATCAAAGCTCGGTTAGTTGGTGATTATAATCGTTCACATTGTAACTAACTCTAAATTCTTCGAAGAGTGCACAAAGTTATGCCCTAGGACGTGGGCTAGCTTGGGACATGCTAGTAACGTGATACCCACACTCATGGAAATTAAAGAAATTGAAAATATACCTGTGCTTTGTTCAAGCCAGTGAATGAAAACATTCCGATTTGCTTGAGAACAAATGACCAGTCCTTGCCACTCTTGTCCTTCGAAGAGAGTTCATCATACAAATTTTGCCTTACGGCCTTGATGCGGCCAGCCATCATCTGCATCTCTGCTCTCCATTCGTCAAACATCGTTGAGTCGCCAACAACGTTGGCAACAATACGGGCACCATGAACAGGTGGGTTAGAGTACATTGGCCTTGCAAGCCTCTTCAGCTGGCTCTTAACCCTGACATCCAAAAGAATACAGCATTAGCAGCTATGCAATATCGGAAAGCAGTTATTGGAAACGCTCCTTTGCACTACGTCCAGAAGTTGATGATTCTACCTGACAGCAACATCTGAAGATGACACAATCGCGTTGATGGCTCCGACGCGCTCCGCATAGAGACCAAGATTCTTGCTGTACGATTGAGCCACAAAAATTTCCATTCAGCGGGCAACAAATTTCCTCACGGAACTCGCATCATCGTCCAGACTTCCACTAGCAAAACCCTGGTGTACCAACAAAAAATACATCCATTCCCCAACATTACTAAGTGGAACACATTCTTCTCATTGTTCCATTTCTCGTGATGACAACTAACCTTCACGTCCAAAGCTAACAAGCCGTTATCTCCGAAAATGCAATTTCTAAGTTAAGACATTTACCTGGTATGCAACATCAAAGAATGCCATATGGTTCTTGCTTTGGATAAGGTCGGCGATCTTCTCCCATTGCTCGGGTGTAGGGTCTATGCCAGTTGGGTTGTGTGCACACCCATGCAGCAAGATAATTGAACCTTCAGGTGCGTTCTACAACATCATACACAATATTGTCCTTAGTAAAGTAACAACCTCACGGCCCTGGTACTGCTAAATCTCTGCTAATACGACTTCTCTCAGAACAACACTCATTGAGATGTTTGCTAGATTCACTTGAAGGAAATACAGCAATACATTGCAGCGGCTCTGAAACCTTTAGTAAACTGGCAACACATCTTGATTTAACCTAATACACAAGCAGGAAATATTTGGCTGATATGTTACCTGAATGTCTTCAATCATGCCTTCGAAATCCAACCCTACGGTCTTAGGATCGAAGTAGCGGTACTCTTTCCATGGAACACCGGCATCATTGAAGATGTTTTTGTGATTACCTGAAATGTTAATGCGCCACAGCCATAGAAGACAAATACACTTAGATTAGAATCTAGATCAAGAAGCACGTTGGAAAGAACATAAGGGTGAATTGTATGCGACTGGAGTTTGATCCATACCCCAGGTCGGAGAAGAGATGTAAACCGTGGTGCCAGGGAAGTAACGTTGTAAGAAAGCAGCACCTAGGCGAAGAGAACCAGTTCCAGATAGGCCCTGGACGGTAGCAACCTGCAATTCAATCGACGTATAGTAAGCATTGGGAGGTTCCACTTCTGAGTGCAAGGCTTGAATGAGCGTGGTAGTCACCATACGAATTAGGTGACCAAGACAACCAAAAAAACAGAATCCTAAACTTCTAGAGTAGACTCTCTTCAAAGCTGACACTCACCCGATTCTCTTTAATGGCAGCATTGTCGGCTCCCAGTAGCAACTCAGCTGTAACCTTGTTGAAAGCAGCAAGACCCTCAATGGGGAGATACTGGATAACAGAATATGCCAAACACAATGGTCAGGTCTCAACCTTCAAGTAAAAGATCTAATATCACAAAAACTGTCAGCACTGTATACCACCAGAGAAATCACTGACTAGAAACTAGAAAAATCGAAGTCTAATGCGTCACAAGACTGCAATTGTACCTCTTTGTTGTCACCACCTTCCAGCATCTTCTTCTCGGCCTGTACAAAGCGAGAAAGAAAGGGAGAGAGGAGAATTTCACCGTCATAGTGTTCCTAGAATCGCAGTTGCTTCGAGAGGGGGGGGGGGGGGGGGGGGGGGGGGGGTTTGGGAAGGCATACACTGAAAGTTCTAAGGACCTGCAAATAAGGATGCATGAACAAGTAGAGGCTATTCCATTGATAGCAAGAGGCACCTTTGTCTTTGAAAGATGGAGTCACGTGCTCAGAAAAATCAGGTCTGTGCACGAGCTACACCTGAGTGCATATTGTCAGACTGAGGGATTAATTACCTTCTTTACAACCTCCAACACATAAGGCTGGAGCTCTTCTGTACGATAAGCGCCTACTCCTAGATTCAATTTCTTGTCGCTGTTGTCCTTCTTGAATGCCTCAGAGACACCCAAAATGGGATCCGCAGGAGCCATAGAAACTGACTCAAATCGAGACACATCGGTAGCAACGGACATTACCGCTCTTGACTTCCCCTGCATTAATGCATTATCCATTTCTTGAATAAGCAGCTCAAAAAGAACCCAACAGTCACCAAGGTCAAGCAATGGTGTTTGACACAGGGAAAATTCTTCAATTTCGAGACATTTGAGGCAAAATTCATATCTTAAGCTCTTCCAGACCTGAACCAAATACAATCAAAACAGACAAACCATAACTCCCTCGCAACACACATTCAGAAACCTCCACTCACCTGGGAACACAATGTAATGTTTCCATTCTTCTGAGGAAAAGCGGCAATCCTGAGGCCGGAGAACTTCTGTGCAGCGTTACCCTGTCCAACGAGTAACTAATCATATTAGCAAACCCAAGACCACATTGGCTTCCATGTCCGAACTTAGTAGAAATTAACGAGCAAAGTAAAGGCATACTCATATACACGCATGATTGGCTCCGAAAGTGATGTTCGACAATCACGAAGTTTCTTAGAAAAAATAATGTTAAACTGCCAAATACCCAAAGACGAGGATCGAGCATACCCCAGCACGAGGACAACCAAAAACATCCCAGCACTCACAACCATGGCCGAAAGGTAGATCGAGGTTAAGTAACAAATAACCCAGTAACAAGTAAACTGATTTCAAAAAAATGCGCAAGACCGGAAACGACCCAATAAACCCCAAC